CTGCTTCTTTAAATAGCTGGCCAATAGAAAGTAAATACACTCTCTTACAATAAATCCATTAATAAACATTTTATGCTTTCTGTGGTCATCGGATACCATGGGTATAACTGGACATTAATTCTCAGTTTTTATATTATATTTTCTTAATTTTTTAATAAATTCTTAGTTTTTACATTAAACAGATACACGTTAAATAATTTTAAAAAAGAATAGAAAAGTGTTGAATATTTATCCATTTGATAAATATTCAACCTTTGATAGGTTCTGGATTTGTTATTATAAATGAGTTCGATGCTTTTCAGAAACTTGATAAAGAAAATAACATGATTAAATATTCAATAAATTTTATCTTTTTATTTATTCTATCGTTAGATTCTTTAACAAATCTACCTCTTATAGGGTGAAAATAATTATGCGAAGAAGGAGTTGGATTCCAGTTCAATCTTTTGTCTTTTGTACAAGTTAATTAAAGCATTACAAAGAAACTTTAAATTATACTTGCATCAGAATAGACATGCTTCAGAAGTTTCTGTTTTTATCGTTTTTGACGTGATCCATTTCGTCCCGCTTTATAATTTAATACTAATGAATTTCTTTTTGGATATTTCTGAAATGGATAATAACCCATTTTTGCCTTTTTTTTTTCAATAGCATTAAACTATAATTCTAACCATAAACTTATAAAAAAGTTATAATAAAGAATATTTGGTAAATAAAATATTTCTTAGAGATCGTAATTTAAAAGATGAGTCAAGGAAATCGCGTTTGGATCCAATGAATATAGTGAAAGAAAGTAAAAAGTTCCAGAAATTGTTGTGCAAATTAAGAAAAGAAAACAAATTTGATAAAAAAAACATATTTCCAAATATATCCATCTGACAGTATTCCGCCACGACTTTACGGTGTTATAATAGCTCACAAGCGGGAAAAAAACTATCCAATGCGACCAGTAGTTTCTACCATCGGCACTTTTCCGTATGGTACCTCAGAATATCTTGTTAAATTTATTTTGCCAACCCTAAACAAAACACACATGTTGAATTTAGGGTTTGCAATCCTGGAGGTCTTTCTCAATTCTGGGATTCAGGAATTGAGAAACATCAATCCCGGGATTGATCCCGGTATTGAAAAACATATACAGCATCTATATAGTATAAAGTAGAATAAAAACTGTACACTCTTAAACAAAAATATATTTTATAAATGATGCTATTTGCATTACATTATTACATGCACACAAGAAAAACATATTAATTAATGTTAAGAAATTTCATTAAAAACAAGGAAATATGTCATGTTTCATGTGTTTTGAAATGTGACTTCAGGAAGCACAACGCGTCCAATGTTTCATCACTCAACCTGTTACGAATTTTATTATTAAACAGTCCAGCGGAAGAAAACACCTGCTCAGCCTCGACACTTGTTGGTTTCACCGTCATTAGAAATGAACAAACTCTTTCTAAATAATCACCACGTGTACCACCATTTTCAAATAATGTCATTTCTTTTTGAATTTTTGACAACAGTGTTTCATGCCTAATTGGTTGCATTGCTGATTGCGCTTCTTTAATTAAACAATCAAGCTCCTCTTCAATACTTAGTCTTATTTTCAGTTTCATTTTCTTCAATAAAATCCAACATATCAGACTCAACTAATGCTCTTACTAAAGCAGGATTGGAAGCGTTTAATCTTCCCAGCAATTCTACCAATAGTTTTCGACGTTTAAATGAAGAAGGCACTGTAATTATTTCTTCATCAAATTCAACAGATCTTCGACCGTTATGCAGGTATTGCAGAAGCCCACTCATATCAGTTCGACGTTCATTTATACAAGCATCTTTTAATTTTTTAATTAGCATATTTTAGTTTTTTAAGCATAAAATTAATAGCAATGTCAGCTGTAAATAGATTAGAAACCGTTGTTTTAATAGGAACTAAAGTTGTAATGTAAAGAGCTATAGAATTATCTTGCACTGTGTAAATATCAAGTAATAATTTTTGTATACTATTTTTTACTTTATAAAATTGTTTAAGCATTAACAGAAGGCTGCTCCACCTTGTTTAGCAATCCATAATTAAAAACAGTTGTTTTCCAAATTCAGCCTAACAATATTTTTGTAAGATGTCGTTCTTAGTAGGTGATCGTCTAAATATTAGCTCAGTAAATCTTCCTCAAAATCCTCATTCTCGGATGAATCACTGTCAAAAAATTTATTTTCAAATTCTGGCTGATTTGCATCGAATTCTCTTTTTTTTATAAAAAATATCAATTACAGCAAGTTGTATGCCGTGGGTCTAGTTTAATATGCCAAACAGCAACCCTGGGGTATAAAAGCTTACGTGTTCGTGTGGGGGAATTTATATTGGGGAAACAAAAAAGAGAACTTTGCAAAGAAGCATAGAACATAAAATTGGCAATCGGCATGCTTCTGGAGCTACTGAGCATTATAAAGAATGCGATGGGATATTCGACTGGCTGCACCCAAAAGCTTTATCTATAGATAACAACTATCATGAAAGGAAAATAAGGAAATCGCTTGAAATTAACTATGCGCAAACATATCAGGAGGTTAAACAAATCCAAGTACTGTTTAACAGGGATAACGGCGTAAAAGTTGCTTCAAATAGTTAGAGACCACTATTTAAGAAAATCGTAAAAAAGAAAAACAATTTTTGTTGACGTCGTCTTTGTAATGGCTTCTTTATGATTTTTAAATTTTATATTGCAACGGTTTTTAAATTGTATTTTACGTCTGATACAAATTAGACCGAAATATCACAAAAAAGAAAAATTAGTTAGTTCGATGCTATTCTTGATGTACGATTACGTACTTCAAGAAATATCACTAAAACAATAAATTTTTACATCATATTTTTAAAATTTTTTACATCAATTTTACGTTCACATGATCAATCGCGTTCAATTTATATTTTTTCAAATATCACTATAACACTATATTTTAGGTTATAATCTATACGTAATATTTCAGCTGCAAAATCTAGTTAGCAAAACAGATTTGCTTTGAGCAGTCATAGCGCAGTGGATAGCGCGCCTCAGAAGCTAGAGATTTGGAGTTTAACGCCACCTCCGGATAAATTTTATAAAATTGGTAAGGAAGGAGGCTTAAACTTCCTTTCAAATGTTCTTCAGCGGTGCTCTGTGATAATATCGTTCAAAATATGCTTAATACGTTCAAAAAACATCAAAATATGCTAAACTGCAAAGAAGTTTCCACCGATTGTTAGGTTTGTATTATGTAACAACATGATTAAATATTCAATAAATTTTATCTTTTTATTTATTCTATCGTTAGATTCTTTAACAAATCTACCTCTTATAGGGTGAAAATAATTAAGCGAAGAAGGAGTTGGATTCCAGTTCAATCTTTTGTCTTTTGTACAAGTTAATTAAAGCATTACAAAAAAACTTTAAATTATACTTGCATCAGAATAGACATGCTTCAGAAGTTTCTGTTTTTATCGTTTTTGCCGTGATCCATTTCGTCCCGCTTTATAATTTAATGCTAATGAATTTCTTTTTGGATATTTCTGAAATGGATAACAACCCATTTTTGCCTTTTTCTCTTAACACCGATAGCTGTGCTTTGTTTTTTGTCTTTTGCACTACCAATAGCTGTGCTTTGTTTTTCTGTAAAACGATAAAGTTTTCTATCTAATACATTTTTTCCATGTTCCGTTTTTATTGTACAAAAATGAATAAACAAATACAGAACAGAAAATGGCGAAAAGTGGCGATTAATTTTTACGCATCATAATGGAAAAATATTGGCCTAAATGTTACTTTAAAATAAAGAAAACTTCAATATGCTTGGAAGTGTTACTGGTAACTACTTTACTTTACTTGGAAGTTTATTAATAATTGCTTTTAAAACGAGCAACCGAAAAAAGACTCATAAATTATAATCAATGAATAACTTTGTATATATCCTATTTATTGTTAAAAACGCTTATGGTTATTAACGTTTTTAGTATTCACTAACTATTTTGGATTTCTAAAATAAATTTTTTTTATTTATTTGCAAGTTTTAAAAAATATAGTTTTGACCGCCTAAATTGATAAAAAAAAAACCTTTACGTGCAACTTTTAACGTCTTCTAAACATTCTAACATAAATAACGTTTGAAAGTCGTTCAAAATTTACAACGAAAATTTACTTATTTAGAACGAGTTTTAAAATCAGAGGCAATTTTAGGGTGGAAGGGAGGATCTTGTCTGTTAAAATAATGTCGATGCAACAATGGGTACATCAATGGGTTGTTTGTCGGACGTCTCACGATGTTCAGACAATCGTAATAAGTCCAACTGAAGTCCCATGCTCTGATAACGCATGTCCACAGAACAGTATCAAGAGTATTGCCAAAAATATCAAAGGAGACCTGTTAGCCAAATTACATACATAAGAATCTTTGGATCGCAGTATATTTATCTACCCAAAAAAGACCATTGTATTACAACTGTGAAAAACAAAGAATCATCAGAAAATGAAAGTAACAATAGTTTTTGAAATTCACATGAGTTTACAACTAAATTAACTTTAAAATAATTTCTTTTTCTTGCTCCAGCCATTCATTTGTAGTAAATGGTTGGACCAAGAAGAAGAAATTCTTTTTATCTCATCGACAAACACCGTTAATTGATATTGGTTCTGATTTAGTTAAATATTTAAACTTTTTAAATTAAATTAAGTAGTTATTATTCTGTGTAAAATTATTCAAAAGATTGTTTTAGCTATTTTTTATATATATCTTAAATCAAATTAGTTATCGTTACTTACAGAGACAACTCCACGCTTTTATCAAAATGTAGTTTAGCTATCATTTATATAGAAAGTATGACGCTTGACTTTAATTTAAAATTTATAACAAAAAAATAACACAAATAACATTATTTATCAAAAATTAAAATGTTTAAACATATGGCAACCCAATGATTACTTGGTTTTTATTTAAATTTAATTTATTTTATCGAAATAACTCACTTGAGTGTGGAATTGCCCATACAGGTTATCAAACATAAATTCCTGGAGAGTGGACATTCTTGCATGGAGGTGAACAACATGTATAACTCTATTAAACGCTGTCAAAGGTACACAGATGTGTTTGGAGTACAAGATTGGCTAAATATATCTAAAATAAGTCAAGCAAAATGTGTCAAAAATAAAGTAAAGTTAATCTACGAAGCGACGCTGTTTGTATTACCTGATGCACCATTGAGAGCGGATTAGAAAAAGGATGTTTTAAGCTTTCACTAAAAAAAAAAAAAAAAAGTTATCAAAAGAAAACATAAATCAATTAAACAAAATAGAAATATATTTGATATGAAAAATTTTTTTCATTTAATAACAATAATCAGTTTACAATATTGTAACTCGGTCTTATAAATAATAACTTATGCCATTCGATCTTGCTTAATCGATGCCGTTCGATTTACTTAATTCAACACTAAGTTTTAAAGATGCAAAAGATAAATTAAAGTCTATTTTTTTTCCAAGATATTCAATAGAGTTAACTGTTAACTGGATTTATTTTCTGCCCACTTATTCTGAAATTTAATTGCTAATTTATTTTTGTTTGGACAGATTTAAATCCCAGGGGCGGGTTTTGTCACTCGCCAAGGAGGGGGCTAAAAAAGTCTAAAAAAAAAAAAAAGTTCCGCACAAAAAAATTTTCTAAAAATTTTTTTTATTGGAAATGAGAAAATTTTTAGATTAACCTATTTTACCATATATAAACCTAAACTTATATAATTGGAGTTCCAATTATATAATTATATATTGTAAAAAAATGCATAGTGAAATATATATATTTCATTTTCATTGAAATATATATATTTCACTATATGTTTTTTATAAATACAAAAAACTGAAATATAATCAAATTTCAGTTTAATAATGTTTATAAAGAAATAAAAATACTTTAAATTATAAAATCTCCAGCCATATTAAATATTTCTCTAGTTGCGAAGCACTGGTTTTTTATAAACCAGAATTTATCATTATAACTATTATTACGTTCTGAATGTCCTAATAAAATAATGATCATTAATAAATAATAATATAAGGCTCTACGATGTCTTAGTATGTTTTATGAAAAATTTCATATTTTAATCGTAAAAATAACCATATTTATTGTATTGTCTTAGCCCAGGACCTTCCTCCCAAGTCTGACTCTGAACGGAGCCATTGAACAATATCAGCTAAATCGTGAATTATATTTTTGTTAAGTTTTTTAAGTAATTTGTTAATTAAGAGCAAGTTAGTGTCATCCGCAAAGTGATACGCAACAGAAAATTTAAATGAAACATTTAAATCATTGATAAAAATAATAAAAAAGAAAAAGTAATGGTCCTAAAACTGAGCTTTGTGGAACACCGTTTAAAGATTTAGTTAGTTCTAAGTTGATACCATTAATTAAAACAAGTTGTGTTTTATTATAAAGATAAGAGGAAAGCCAGAGAAAATGTATACCTCTAATATCGCAATGTTGCAGTTTTTCTAGTAGGGTTGTGTGCTTAACATTATTGAATGCTTTTTTTTACGTTAATAAACTCTCTAAACGCAAAGTGTTTTTTATCGATTGCTTGTCTAATTATTTTTTTTTTCCTAATAATGAATTAGTTGTTGGGTGTTTGTTGCGAAAACCATATTGGTGTAAAGACATTTATATTTCTCCAAAAAATGCTCGAGTCTTTGGAACATTGGTTTTTTAAACAGTTTACTTAGGTTAGAAGAAAAGAAATAGGTTGATAATAGGAATAGTCTATAAGAAAACCATTTTGCGTAATAAGATTTACTTTGGCTACCTTAACTACTTTTTTCAAAAACGGAAAGATAGCATTTTTAAAAGAATTATTCACCATCGTACATAGAGGTTTAGAGATAATTTGATACACCAGTTTTGTTGGTAGAATATTGGAGCCAAAGCTTTTTTTTTGTTTTTTAGAGTACTTTTTATGAGATTAGAAACCTCATCTTCAGGGACGGAATCAATGAAAAAATAATTATTACTCGGTATTATAAGATAGTTTGCAAAAAACTCATTTAGAAGGAGCAATACTTCTAGATATAAAACTATTTAAATTTTGCGACTATTTAAAAAAAAAATTTTTTAAATAGTCGCAAAATTGTTATTTTATAGATTAGTAACACTGGTATGACCTGAGATCATATTTTTAATGATTTTCAGTCTAAAAGACTTAGTATTAGTAGAAGGTTTGGTCTTAATGGTTTCCTTAAAACCTTTCCAAGTAATCTTTACATTATTGATGTCGTTATTCAAAAAAAAGGCATAGTATAATTTTTTAAAATATTTTAACAAATGGCTAATTTTATTTTTGTATAACTTAAACTTAGTAAATAATAGCTTTTTGGTATTCACATTATTTGATCTAGTAAATTTATTATAAAGTATGTTTTTATTAGAAACAGATTTAAGAACACCAGAAGTTATCAAGTTTAGATTGAGCTTTGATTCGTTTTTTTTTTGTTAGCTCTTTGTAGGGAGCATATCGGTTTAATACTTTTTCAAATGTTTTGAGATTTATGTAAGTTATTATCTTCTTTTATGAGAAAATCCCAGTTAAGCTCAGAAATATCTTGAATAAAAGAATCGGAATCAAATTTTTTAAAGCTCCTTTTAAACGTTTTAATTTTTTTTAACGGGTGAATTTTAGGAATAAAAACAAATTGTGCCATGTTATCAAAAATTGAAATCATAAGATTACCAGAAACTGTCAGAAGAAAATGAGTTCATGAAAGTGTTAGCAATAAGGGTTTTCGTTTTTGCAGTTACACGTGCTGGAAGAATTTTGAAAGGACTTGTGATTCTCTATAATTCAATAAATCTATGTTATAAATCTCCGATAAGTTTTCCTTTATTTCATGACTTAAAATTTCAGTGATGTTTAAAGAGGGATGTCGATATATACATCCAAAAATGGTATTACTATTAAGTGGATTTATAACTTTAACAAAAACAGACTCTAGAAGTATGAAGGCATAAATTAGAAGATCACTACGAATTATGTAATTAATATTTTAATTTAAATAAAGATGCGAAACCACCGTTTTTTGACTCTGTTGGACAATACTCAATGTTATATCCATGTATGGTAATGTTAGTTATATTAGAACCCTCTGCGTATAAATTAGACTCAGTAATTCCTATCACCATGGTAAGAGCATTAATGGTATTAATAAGACTGCAGAGATCATTAATGTGAAATGGGAGAGAAGAAATATTAAAATGGAAAATTCACATAATAAGTTTATGTACAAAGATTAATTAACTAATTTAGTTCATTAATGTCAAGGTATTTGCATTTAGTTGTATAAAATAACATATCAGTAATTAGCCAAATTTTTTTAATTTACTAATTTACCCCGTGGGAAATCGGCTGGCTAATAGCTAGCTATAACCGTAACAATAAAGACAGCGATTTGGCCACGAGGATCGCTAGTTTTTTTAAGTTAGCGAAAAGTATCGATATTTTTAAAGATAAAGACAGCGATTTGGCTACGAGGACAGCTAGCTTAAAAAGTTAGAGATCCACTGCCTATTATAGTTAGTGTTATATTGGAATAAAATTTCTGTCAAAAAAATTTTGATATGTAGCTACAAACCAGCTATAGATTTCTAGATATTTTGTATCTAGCAACAAAGCTACGATATCTAGCTTGCAACACATTGCTACAAAATCGAAATGTTTCAAGTTCAATTATTGTCATAATTATAATAGACTCAACACTAAAAACCGAATTATTAAAAATGTTAAAGACATTAAATAAGAAAAAAAAATCGCTTGAAATCGCTATAAAGCTAGCAAGTCGCTAACTTATTTCCCGCCGGCTATGAATTATTTCCATTATAGTCGTATCGGTGCTGAAACAATGTATTTTTATAATCAACACTAAACTCAAAGCTACAACGACAATATTTTGTCGACAATATTAATTTTTTTTTTTTTGACAAGGTCGTTGGACGACATGCGATGTGATTTAACTGTTTACCTTATGTGATGTGGCGGCGAATATTTTTTTAGTTTTGAAAATTTGATGCAAAAATTTTAATATTAAAAAAATATTACAAAAAATAAAAAAAATTACCGATATGAGGCTGCTATATACACTTTGGTTATTTTACTTGTTATCAATTTGTGAATGTTGGGATTATGATGGCACAGACTTTGAAATTTTTGACTTGTATGAAGAAGTTAATGGGACTTTCTATGAATTGCTTGAAATAAGTCATGTATGTACATGCTTATAGTATATTTATTTTTTTTAATTTTTTTTATTCCATTTTCTGTTTTATTGTTTAGATTTGTGTGTGCTTTTTTTATTTGCTGATATCTTATATTTGTAAAATGTTAAAAACAAAATAATACGTAAAAAGATAAAAAACAAACAAAATAACAAAACAAAATATAATGCTATAATATAAAATTTAAACATTTTTGATTAATGGGTTAGAAAAATTTGCATTTGTATTGTTTTTGTTTGTAAACTTTTTAAAAATTCAATTAAATATATATATATATATATATATATATATATATATATATATATATATATATATATATATATATATATATATATATATATATATATATATATATATATATATATATATATATATATATATATATATATAAACACCTAATGTCCCCATTAGCATTATCAAGGACATTTTAGTGTACCTGTTAATTTTTTGTCCCTGTAAGCATGATTTTTTTTTGTAAAAAAATGTACCCATAAGAAACTTTTATAGAGAACGAAAAGTACATACATCGACTGACAAATAACCTGACTCGCAAGGGAGTGCTGCTACATCGACTAAGGATATGGTTTGGCCAGGCATCAAAGTCAGGCTTAGGGTTAGGGTTAGGGTTAGGGCAAGGTTTAAATTTGGTTATACTATTGTAATTAATCACTTTTGTAAATACATGAAGTTAAAAATGAAATATATTATAAAATAAATGAATTATAAATAACAAAAATTAATATAAAAATATATTTTTATAATAAAATAATAAATTTAAATATGTATAAATAAAAATAGAAATATAATAAAAATTAAAAAATATATAAATATGATAAAAATAGTATAAAAAAAGTAAAAAAAAACAACAGAACAGGAACAAAAATAACATGTCCCGGAATGTCACCAACTAGGATGCTATATATATATAAATATATATAGCATCCTAGTTTTTATTGTTTCCCTTACCTGTCAGACGATCAATATGGTTTTCAATCCCTTCGCTCTACAGCTGACTTGCTGATTGCTGTGACTGAAAGATTTTAGTGTGCATTAGATGGAGGCGGAGAAGTTAGGGCAATTGCTCTTGACATATCATAAATTTTCAACAAAGTTTAGCTTGGTGGTCTTCTCCATATGCTTGTTTAATATGGTGTATCTGGGAAAGTTTTTGAGATTATCAAATTGTTTCTTTCTAACCGCTTTATTTTAGTCATACTCAAAGACCAACACTCTTCCAGTAACTTCTGGGGTACCTCAAGCTTCTATTCTTGATCTTGTTTTGTTTC